CTTCACTATAGGCTTGTTGCACGTTGGGTTGTTGAGACATTACGCGTTGTTGTTGCAAAGGTGGGGTGTGGTGGTGGAGCTGACGACTCGGTGGGGTTGACGACTCGGTGGTGAAACACGTTATCAACTAACTATAACAACTATATTGTTATTATTCATTATTAAAAATATCTATACGTACGCACTTTTTTACTTAAGTTCCTTATAAGACATATTAAATTAAATATTAAGCCCCTTTATAAGTCTACTTAAGCATATTCTTATTTAGGTTTTTATAGTTAAATGGCTTAATATTAGTACTTGAATGTGATGCCTTTCTTAAAGCATTAATAGCTTAAGAACTATTGTTGGCACTGAGGCGTTTGGAGTGCAATACTGTCGGATGCCACTGAGGTTGCTTCATACTACCACGATCGTAGAGATAGATCTAGCCAGCAGAGCACTTGCAAATGCTCCTCCTAATGACGGTCGGACACGAAATGCCCAAGCTAATTCCAGCGGAATTGGCCTCATCACGCTATGCAATCGATACAAGGGGCGATCCTCAAAGAAAGAGGGCCGAATCGTTGCCTATAGGCTTAAGTCAAAGGAGCCTTCTTTTCGCGCAAAGCAGTGTTCCTTTGCTACGGCATCACTATCAAGCTCTTACCACTCACGATACACACAGAAATGTTTTATTCAAACCTGTGGCCTTATAATAGCCTTAAACTATGATAAGCTTTGTGCCTGCTATCGCGTGCAAATTTTGCAGAGTTGCCACCCAGTTGGTATTGCCAATTCAACAGTTACCGATCTCGGCTAGTGTAAAACGGCCCCTCAACATGTGTAGCCCATCGCGGTGGAATTTGTTTAGTGTGGCTCTCAGGTACGTGGCTGTGCAGAGTCATGGCAAATAGGCCGCAATGGTATGGTCGTCATAAGCCAGGGGGTATTCTTCCAGAAACTTCCATCAAGGGTCATGGGCTAGCCATGTTTGTCAGCTGCATTGTTGCCTAGAGCTGTCCTCCACATTGCCACACACGGCTGCCCTCGTAATAAAACAGGGCGATATCCCTCTCTCTACTCCCCATCATCGTGCACTTGACGACCCTCGAAAGATGAAAAGACTCATCAACAACAGCATCGTACACAAGAGGAAGAGAAGGTCTGTACAACACACTGCTTACTGAGAATATGGACAGTTGCACTAATTTCCATACAAAACTCGATAGACGCCAGAACATGCCCCCCGAACAGACATCGCTTTGTGACAATTGTTCCGGCCGATGGGATCGTATCGGGTTTTGGCACTCTAGCCCTCCTGGTACGGAGGAATCACAAGAAGAATGGGGTCATGTCCTTGACCGGAAATTCGGTGAAATAGAGAAGAATAGTCAATGTAGCTTTTGCCAATTGATCTGTAACGCTCTCACTAAACGTGGCCATTCCCCTATTCAGAAGGACACAACTATATACTTCTCTAAGGTGCTGTTTGGCGAATACGAGTCCAGGTCAACAGCTCAACGGGGTCATGGGACTGCAAGCCAGTTTGGTGGGTTGGAAGAGTCAACTTGGCAGCGCCATTTTGTCAATCGTCTTTGCGTTTCCACTTTCCCAAGCCGGACGAATCTAGCGAGGGATGACATCTGGCTCAATCAAGACGAAACACGTTTGTGTCAATACAACGAGTGTCACATAGCATTGCTTCGAGATGATGCTGACAATGATCGTTTCTTCCATGGACGCCGAATGAATTCGACCTTCGACACGAACCTGGCCAAGCAATGGATCAAAACATGTGACACCGCTCACAGTACAGAGTGTTCGCTACCATGTGTAGTAAAACGGCCGTCGAGAGTTATAAACGTCAAAGAGAAACGTATTGAGTATACACCACCATCTTGCTCATATATAGCTTTAAGCTACCGCTGGCCAACCTCCGCAGGGCTTAAACTAACGAATGACACTGAGAGTTCCTTAATGGAAGACGACGGACTCGCCCAAGTCGATGGTATTCCGCTCATAGTGGAGGATGCAATGACGCTATTAAGGAGTCTGGGGCAGACATATCTGTGGGTGGATGCTCTATGCATCTCACAACAAGAGAGAGACCCACAAAACTGTCTAGATGACGAGAAGGAGGATCAGCTTGCAGCTATGGCAGACATATATCGTGGATCTTACTTTACAATAGTAGCATGCTCTGATCCTGATTCGAAGAAAGGCCTTGCTGGTATTCGAGGTCGTACACGTCACTCGCAGAGGAGTAAGAGCACTGATGATCTTACCTTTGCCATCGCTAAGCCCGACTTGGTTTACGCTGGCCAAAATTCTAAGTGGAACTCTCGGGTTTGGACATTCCAAGAAGCAGCTCAATCGCGCCGGCTTCTGATTTTTACCGATGATCAAGTTTTCTTTCATTGCAATGGTACCATTTGGCGTGAAGACACGTTCCTAGAAACATCAAGGCTGCAACAAGTTCGCGCAAGAAACCACCCCCCTCCACAAGCTCCGTACTGGAGGAATCGATTCCCAGAGCAACAACTTAAGCTCATAGAGTGGTTTGAAGTTGGCAAAAATTATACAGCGCGTATTGCGACTCGAGATTCGGATTTTCCACTGGGACTGGAGTTTATTAAACAAAAGAACCGTACATTCTGCTGTCTACCTGAGAAATATTTCGCACTAGCATTGTGCTTCATCACTTTGGAAGGCAAGCGGCGGGGCCTAGACTCCCCGACATGGTGCTGGTGTCACTGGAAAGTTCCTGGGGGTATTAAGTACGGATTAGAGGCTCTATTTTTCAAAGATTCGGCCGATAGCTTCTGCTCTAGATCTTTCTATAAGATTGGATATGACCTAAGCGAATGCTCTCTATTTCCAATTCGGATGGACGATGTCCAGTTTCCAAGCCTTCTCAATGCTATGCAAGTTTCCTCGATTCAGAGCAAATTTGAGATACCAAATCTGGTCGGATTCTATGCTTACATGCTTAAAGGTAGGCTCTCATTAGGGGACGGTAGGTTCGGAGAAGACTACACCATTGAATTTCCACTCCATCCTCCCGTGCATGCTAGTGCAGTCTTAGCGCTCGACTTTCACAAGAATGAAGGAGATCTAGTAACATTTGTAGACGTGGTGTTTGACTTTGATGCCAACGATGTTTCGCTTTTGGTGGTTGAAACCAATGACAATGGTATCTCACGTCGCGTTGGCACAGCCACCGTCAATCTGATCAAGTGGGAACTGACGACCTTTGCTCTAGAAAAGGCGTGGGTGTTTTTAGAATGAGTTACATAATCTAAATATAGACAAATATGAGAAGCGTATGATATTTCAGTGAAGTCATGGCATGTGTTTAACAGGCACTTCAAGAAGAAAGCAGACACTCGCTACACGATTCTTACTGAAGCTGATATGGCACCACACACCTCATTGTCAGATGGCGTCGGACACGCTGTCATCCTAGTCCGTTGCGGTCCGAGCTGCTTAACATTTCTAAATTCTTGGGGCTCTGAGTGGGGCAAAAACAGTACCTTGAGTGTTGAGAATCCTGCAGTGCTTCAGTTTGAAGGTGCATCGAAGTGGTATCGGATGTGTTTCTACGATATTTTCTAGTAAGAAAAGGAACTGACTCCTGAAGAGAAGCACGCATATGGCACCAAACCGGATGATGAAGTGCATGCTTACGCTGCACAACACCCTAGTGTTCTTTAGCTGGAGATGTAGTGTCCTCTCTGCCAAAGCAATTCTTGTACCGGGGACTTTACGTGCAGCATGAGTTTAACGGTGTGTTCCCACTGCCGACGATCATTCAGAGCAGAGCCTGGGAATCTCATGCAAGCACTGTACATGAGAGCTGAACTTGACATGATCTAATCAAGATTTATTTGGTTTCGAGCGTAAGCAGCGCAGTCGTGAGACGGCCCCATCCGGCTAAATTGTGGCAGCCCCTGTGCACTACACTGCGCACAACACCTCCGCCTCCGTATCAAAGAAGTGGTTTCCCAAATTAGTCTTGAGCACTCTCTGAACCATAAGACATGGCTTGCGCGAAGCAAATCCTTCATTGACACAATTTCTAAATTTTCCACATTGCTCCTGCAATACAAGCATGTTATCAATAATCATACACCGAATTCACCTGACCGTCCCCTCCCCCAGCCATCCACTCTGCCACCTTCAGATACCCCAAAATACCATGCGCATTCAGACCAAACTCACCGCTAAACTGCCTCACCATCGCATCAGGCAAAACATATCGATACCCCCTCCAAGACCGAAATGCCCCATGATGGAAATTAACCGTGAAATCGTACTGATTCATGAAGTCCCACGCACGAATCTGATATTTATCGTACAAGTCATTCAAAACGGTATAGTATCCCTGGTCCCCCGCCGCAACAGCCGCAAAAGTGATATGCTGAACGAGCTCTCTGAGCACTTCGTCCCGAGCCCACGACTGCGGTGAGCCAGACGGGTCACCCCACGTATGCCGGATCCTCTCGAGGATATCCGTAAACGCCATTCTATTTTTCAAATCATTAACAGTCATCCAAAAAAAAAAAATCTTTTTGATCGCTTGATGGGACATGGTGGTGCTTACATGCTAATCCCGCCCCCCATCGAAAACCCCGCGACAATGATCTGCTTGGGCGTCGTACCTCGTGCAGCCATATCTCCCACTGCCCTATCAAGCGCATCAAACACCGCCTGTCGCATCGCATGCCACATGTCGCGATAGAAGCTGTGGATGCGATTGCCATTTTCGAACACGGCATACGGTATTCCCAACCATCCTGCGCCATCGGTCCATGTGTTCATGTAGAGCTCCATGGGATCCGAGCCGAGAAATGCGATGGTAATTTTGTCATTGTTGCAGACTACGACGCCTCTGCGGCTGGCGTTGAAGCCGGTGTGGAGTTCTGAGATACTGAGGGTTGGGTTTTGGTAGTGATCGCGCAATGCGCTGGTTATGGCGTTGATGTCTGGGCTGAGAGTTGAGCGCCATAGGATGTCGGCTGCGTCTTTGACATCGTACCATTGGGCTGGACCGCCTTCCAATCTGACCAGTTTCATTATGATTCCTCTTGCTGTAGGACAGACGTGAGTTAACTAAGTTGTACGCCCTTGGCGTGATTGAGTGCTTCGGCGGTGGGAAGTCGAGTCTTCGAGATGCCAGTGAGCGAGGCTGAAGCTAAGTGAGTGTGAGTGAAGGTAGGAATTTGATACTTATAGGGAAGACTGAGGGTGACTATCTGTAATGATATGTGACGATGTCTTTCGCTTTTGGCAGGGTAGGCTACTGCTACCGTGTCCGTGCGCGCAATGCGCCGAACCCCCCTAATGCGCACCTGCAAACCTGAGGCTATAGAGCCACATACAATAGCTATTGTCACGAGATAATTCGTTAGATTGCTCTATACGCCTAGGCGACAATATTCTACTATATAAATTAATTATATAAAGTTGCTGTTCGGCCGCTGCGCGTGGTGTGGGTGCGAGGTGCCGCAGGAGGCTCTATAGCAACAACACCACGCCGCGCAGCCACTGCACCACGATTCTGCTTCT